ATGTTGTAGCCTTTCCAGAACATGATTTGCACTCTTAGGGAAAACGAAAGATGCATCCAACAGAAAGCAGCAAGCTTGCAGAAGTTTGGATGTACATCAAGTTTCCTTTGAGGTGTAACTTAAGAGAAATGACGTCTGGTTATGAATTATGACTGCTAGAAGATTTCTATCACATACAGGAAACTAACAAGGATAGATTCTGACCGATTCTGCTTAATTTTTCCCAATGCATGTACACTGGTAATGTACTATATTCGGTGCTGAATAGATACTCACTCAAACCTTAAATGCAGTGTGTCAGAAATGTCGAGTTGTGACTGGCACTAGTGTTTGGTAAAGATGCTCTGCTATGCTCCTCCAAGCTATAATCTTTTCCTAAACCTTGCCTAAAGGTAACCGAGGTATCTTGGGCCCTGGCACTGTTGTAAAATAGCAGCATGCTAACAACCTCTCTGTGTGTGTGTGTGTGTGTGTGTGTGTGTGTGCGTGCGCGCGCGCACGCATGTGTTAGATTTGAGGAGGAGAAACGTTGAGGGCTGACTCACCACGTTGTTGTTTCGGGGGGAAGGAGGGAGGTTGAGCTGCTCATCACTCCCTTACGGTCAGATTTGATCCGTTAGTATTTTAGGAAGGCAGTTACGGAAATCTGCCATCTCCGCATGGCGTTCTGTGCTGGGCATGTTCGATGGGGAGAGGAGAATGTATGTAAGGGCTTAGTGGTTTCATGTTGGCTCAGCTAGCTGAATTTTAGTAGTTGTCAACGTTATTAAAAGCTTGCAAGGTATCTTTATTTAATTGCATTAAAAGAGTTTGGCTGGTAGGAACACTCAACCTCTGAATCTCTTAAAGTTACGGTAGGTCAACAAACTCGCTTGTAAGGATTAATAAAGAATACAACAAGGGCCCTGTGAGAAAATGACTCTTGTGGAGCCTTGTGTAGGGATACATGCACAGAGCAGTTATTGAAGAGCAGCAAGAGTCTTGTTGCAACTATAAATGTTCTTCTGTATCTTTCCAAGGGGTAATGAGCAGCTGGACCGCATCATTCTTGACCCCATCTGCCATGGCTGAAACCTTTATAACTTGGATGAGTAAAATATATTTTAGGTATATGGTAACTAATTTAAGAGACAAAGACTTCAGTATTTTTGGACCAAAAATAGTTTGGGTTGGAAGGCACCCCCAAAGGTCATCTGGTCCAACCAGTGTCCAAGTTTGAAGTTGGATAGGGCTTTAAGCAGCCTACTTGGCTAGTCAAGCTTTGCTTATCTTCCAAGGATCACTAATGAAAATGTTGCAATGTTCAACATCAGTAACATCAAGAAAATCAACATTGTTGATCCCAGAGTGAACCCCCCCCTCCAAGGGCTGCTACTATTAACCAACCCATGCAGTGTGGGTTGGCCTGCTGACCGCTGCCTGCAGAGCTGCACAGTCTGTCCAGATTTCCTTGCATCTTGTAGCCATGTAAACAGCAATCACTGCTCTCTGGTTCTGCCTCCGAGCCAGCCATCTCACTGTAGAAGGCAGTCAGTTTGAGAGGCACAGTTTGCCTGGCATGGGAGCTATCCCATTATCTCTTCCCCATCCCAGTGTAGATTACACCAGTGTCTGACTGGTTTGCTTTGCCCTCTTTCTAACATCCCCACAACTAAATGCTCTTTACAGTGAGCAGCCAGCCAAGATCTAAGGCAGAGCAGAGGACTGATTTCTAGCATGTTTTCTTTTGGGCAGAGGGCTTAACAATGCTTATGCTTGCAGAATGACCTTGAAGACCAGGCCTTTTGGCTTTTCTTCCATTTGCCAGACATGTTCCAGTGCTGGACCCACTGCCTGGATGTCCCAGTTTTCAGAACAGTCTCAGTTGTACTGAGATGTACATTTGAGATTGGGAAGAGTTTGTTTCCTATTGAAAAAATTGCTAGTGGCTTCTCACATTCTTCTTTCTCTGTTTTGTCACTGAGTATTTTCCAGGACCTGTTTTCTTCCTGTAACAGATTTGGTTGGAAAAACTGTAGGCTATGTTTTGGTGCCATTCAGTCAGGAGCAGCTAATATTAAGAGGAAAAACTAATTTTCAGAAGTAATGAATAATAAGCTTTCAGTAACAGTGTTTTTCTTTATTTAAAGTGCTAACAGAATATGTGTATGTATAAAAGCTGTGTTTGAGTGCACAGAGATTAAGCTGGCTATAAATAGCATCTTCCATGACCCTGCTGGAATTTTCTTTAAGCTTGGAAACACTGAAGTGTGTGTTTTGCCAGTATTGAATCATGAACCCTGAAGAAGAGCTAATGACTTCTTATTTCTCACCCCTGATCTCCAAGTAGAGCATTCTTTATATGAACAGGAGATCAGTCTGAAACTAGCTCAGGCTTCATTTGCCTTATTTAACTGCATTTACTCGCTTTTTTCATTGTGGCATTCTCTTTTCTGCTCCAGTTGGTGTATTCATGACAATAATTATTTTCAACCCATATTATCAAACCCATGCAAGCTGTGGGTGACAGTTCATAAAATCTGCTTCGTTTTCTGTTGTACTTAAACCCAAGCTTTTCCATTTGAACATCTTGTAAATCTTCCCCTCATGAAATGCATGGCTTTCTCTGTTATTTTGTCTGACATAAGGGAGAGGTGGAGCTGGGACTAAATGACCAGCTCCCGGGACAAAAGCCATATTCTCTGCTACCTGTCCTGATGGATCCTGGCTGTAGACAGTGCATTTGGGTCTGAGATTTGGTTCTGGCTTTAAAAGTGTTCCCAGGATGTGCTGCACCCAAACTGGCTGGGCTGCAATTAGTGAAGTTCTGCCAACAAAACAATGAAAAGATGTTTAAACTTTCCAGTTTTGTTTGAAGTTGAATTGTTTTGTAGGAAGATGTTAACTTTTTGGTAGGAAGCAGTCAGATTGCTTTGCATGTCCTTTTTTTGATGCAGGATTTCTTTCAGCATATATTAGTATTTAAGCAACAATAGATGTTTTGGTAATCGGTTGAATCCTTGCTTCAGGAATCTTTTCTTAAAATCGGTCTTCTGTTTCTGTATAGAACAAAACTGTAAAAAATAAATTCCAGAGCTTGACTAGCTCTTGTTTGGCATGAAGTGGTAGAGCACTTAAAATTCCTCATACAACAGCTTTAATTGCTTGCTAATCCTGCCTGAAGATTGCCTGAGAATGTCAGCCCAGTTCTCCTGTTGCTTAGTTTGAGTAGCATAGACCACATATACTTCGAGAAAACATACTGGAAGTATTTGTGGTAGAATGTGTGTAGAGGGGTATGGAAAGCTATGCCTAGAGGTCAAGCTGTTGACATTTAGGTGGCTGGCTATTGATCTGTATCACCAGTCTGACAGATGTATAGCTATTGTAGCATGAGTTAATAATTTCTTGGTGTAATGCAAAATCAACAGTGAGTTGACCTGAGCCCCTGAACATGACTCCCATGGAAGGAGGTGGTGTGCAGCACTGTTCCCAGTGGTGCTGCTGTGCTCCACGAAGCCTTCCTCAGTGCACAGCAATTCTGGACAAAGGCTGACCGATACCCATGCCTTCCTCTTGCCTTCCTACGTTGTGTTGAGCTTTGATGAATGTGTTAGTACTCACTGCTGGCTGTTCCCTTTTTTTAGAAACAAATCTTACCATCAGTAACTCTATAGCCATGGTGAGTAATGGAGAAGTCATTGCTCGTTAATGATTCACTTACAGGTTCCTGTACTGCTGTTGCTCAGTCACTTGTGTTGCTGTTCTCTGCTGAAGTATTGCTCAGATGAGCACTTAGACCTGATTTTCATAGTTTCAGCAGTGTTGCTGTAATGACAGGGTGGCAGGTGTCTGCCTTCGATTTACTGATCATCTGGTCTGAAGTGTATCACTCCAGAGCTGGTCCCAGCAATGCTCTCGGCAAGCTTTTAGAAAATCAGTGCCTTTCAACCCTGCAACTGCTTAAAGACAACTTTAAAGTTGTTTTGCGTTGGTCTGTGAAAGCTCTGTGTGGTTGTTTGCCGAAAGATTGACCTGTCCTGCTGTGTCAACTCTTGTAAACTAAAAGGATTAAATGCAAAACTTCCCTTTTCCATTCGGAAACTTATTTTCAGGTAAAGTTCTCATCACAGCTTCTCCAAGGTGTTTACTTTTTGCACGCATGCTTGGTGATCTGCTTTCTTAGGAAGCACGGGTGCTTTGCTGCGGCAGTTACAGGAATGGTACATCCAGTAAAGCAGCAAAAGCAAACGTCAGCTCTTAAGTAACTCAGCTGCAGAAACAGAGTCCTGAAAGAGATGCCTAGGGTCACCCAGTCCAGTCCTTTGTCTTAGTCGTGCATGTCATATCCTCCCTGGGCTGATTGAGTTACGCAGACAAAGCTTGCCTAATAATACGGCTTCCTATTTTGTAACAGTCATTATTGTAAAGCTGGTTCATGGTGCCATTGTTCAAATAAACCAGAAAAAATAAAATGAGAAAAAAAAGTGAAAAGGGGCTCACACAAGAACAAGAGGATGCTTTTGCTGCTTTTGGCTTGGTTACTTCCTGTAAAAACAACAAAGCCACTTGCCATGCGATTCTTGGGATTGTTCAGCAGCAGTCAACCCAAGAATAGTAATTAATAAGTTAAAACACCCTGAAAGCTGCAGGATGTTAACAACGTGGAGATGCTGTGGCCTGACTTTTGAAGATGCAGTATCTTCTTTTTCCTTGATGGCTGCTTGCCTTCCAGCATGGGTGGCCAAAGCCCAGCGGCTCCAAGTCATTTCCCAGGAAGATACATAGGCTAACAGAGGCCCTGATTTGATCTGAGATTGGTGAAAATCTGCATGTGAGAGCAGAAGCCGAGAGGGATAACCACAGCTTGGCCATGGGCTGTTAGAGAAGAATCTTGAAGGGAGGGTCAGGTAGAACGGGCAGAGTTTCTGATAAAAGGGGATGAATTGCACCCAGTTTTTTATAGCTTTTAGGTGTTCCTATAACTTTATTCCAAGGAGAAAAATCGGACTTTTTAAACAAAAGTGGGTTTTGTGTTGTCTTTCGGTTGGTTTGTTATTTTTCTTGCCAGCGGTGAACCAGGTCAGGGCCTGTGCAAGGCAAGACTTCCATGTCATCATTCTCCCCCTGCCATTTCACAGCAGTGGCTTCATACCCTCTCTGTTTTCTTCCTCTCCTCTTGCCCTTCTCCACTTTCTCCTCCCTATGTGCTGCCCTTTCCTTCCCATCCCACCTGTTTGCTCCTGGAGCAGTTGGAGCTGGCGGCAGTGTGCCAGGGTGCCGCGGGAACCGGGAAAACAGCTTGCCAAAGCACCTTTCCCTGCCTGAATCCATGAGCTCCGGGACGCCACATTCCAGAGAGCTCAGATTGGCATCTGCAGTGAAGCGTGTACATAAAGTGGGAATGTCTCTGCTCAGATTTTTAATTGAACTCTTGATATCTAAAGTGAAGGAGCACAAACCCTGATTGGTTTTGGGAGTTTTGTGAGGGACAGCCCCTTCAAAAAGCCTCAGATTGCTCCACATCATGTTGATCCACATAAATTGTTCGAGAGTCCTGGGCCTAAGCTCCTATGGGAAACGGCAACTGGATCAATGAAAGAAAGCATTCAGCAATGTGCATTTTATACAAGCATTTAAACTTTTTTTTGTGTTGTTGTTGTTTTGGTTTTGTTTAGTAATAAAAGGAACAAAGCTATTATTAGTGACCATGGGCTTGGGAGTTTGCTAAAGCAGCAGTAGTTACTCATCTGTTTTCATTTGCAGAAGTATTCTAACAAAGGCAGCCACAAATGCAGCGGCAGGGTTAGGAGGTGGATGGTAGGAGTGGAAGTACACTTTCTGGAAGCCCGTGCTTACTAAGACCTTTCTGTCTAGTCTTGGTTTTGTGGCCATCAGGCGTGCAGTTCCCAGGGAGCTCTTGCCTTGCTGGATCAAAACGTGGAAAGAATGAATTTCCCGGGTAAGTTGTCGGTCCTTTTTCTTCTCTAAGCTGCAGCAGTTATACAGAGCAATTGTCGCTTGTGGGGCTGGCATGGGGCTGCATCTGCATGTCAGCTCCTGCAGCTGGCTTGCAGGAGTTGGAGAGCAAGCAGTGTTATGTGATCATTGTGTTCTATTTCTCCCCCTCCCATCCTGGCCAGGTAGGAATAACATTGAGAATTTATCTGATGCGCAATACAAAACCCCCAAACCCACACAAGGTGGTGAATATTTCCTTGCTTGTTTCTCTCTCCTCTAAAAAACAGCCTAACAAGCATGCACAAGACCTTTGTATGTGCTTTAATGTTCAGCCAGCTGGTTCATGGTTGCAGGTGCTGTGGAGTGCAGAGCTGATGTGCGTGGTGGGGTGGATGCTGCTGTGTGATCGGATGCAGTGAGGGTGAGCGAGTTTTCAGCTAACAATACTGTAGTCAAATGCCCTCTGTACCGAAAGGGCAGTAGCCTATGGGACGTGAATGAAATACTCTGATTTCCTTAGGTTTGGAACCACGTCCCTGCTAAATTTGGTTACGATGCACTTAATGTATGCTTGAATTCAATGCTGTAATTAAATGCTCAGTGAAAGTTGCTGTCTAATAATCTCATTAAAACCAGCCTCTCTTTCTCCCTAGTCCCGCAGCACTTTGGAGTCTGACCTTGCAATTTGAGTTTCAGTCCTAGGTTACTAGGACAAATACCATGAGGAGTATTTTGAATAAGAAACATAAACTGTTTGATGTAACTTTAATGTTGCTTAGATGTCTGTGTGCTGAAGATACGGACTTAAAACTGTGAATATGCAGAAGAGCTAAATAGAACATGGAGTTAGAAGAGGAAACCTCTTGTTTTGTGCATAGAGATCTGTTGGGGTGGCTGAGTCACAGTGTAGAAAGTTCCAAGTGTTTTTCTAGTGTCTGAAATGATATCCTTTGTGGTTTTTAGATAACAGATTAGCAAGGGAGAAATAATTGAGCTGCTTTATCGGGCTGCTTGCAGAAACATGAAATTTAGCATGATAGTTGAATAAAAGTCTTATCTGTATTTACGGTTGTTAATGGTCAGAAACTGCCATTTGAAAGGATGGATTTAGCAGTGTGTATGAAGATTGTAAATACATCTTTTTACCTGGGTTTTATGCAAACAGTTTTTTCAATACCCAATACCTTCTCTATGTTACATGAAGTAACAGTTTGCTTTCAGATGCCAAACTTTGGGGAGTAGTCTGATAGAATAGGAAAAATGTTACATGTGGTGATATTTTTACCCAGGGCGTTTAGCAGGGCTTTTTTTGCTTCTAAATTTTTAATCATCCAGTTTTCTATTGTTTTGAATAAAGGTTTTGCAAGGGCAGTAGAATATGTAGACATAAAAGTTGGAACTGACCTGGTACTAAAGGGAACAAAGAGACCTTCACACTCTTGAAACAGGATTCTGCACAGAAAACTTAAGCTTGCTTGGGTTTCCACCATAGCAAACAGTTTTTTGCAGTTTACTTTGGCAGTAATTCATACCACCATTATGTATAAGGGGAATGGAAGGATGTTTCCAAAGCAGTATGCTGTTCATTGCTGTGCAGAAATGTAGTTTTAAATCTGTTTTCTGTAGGTACATTGAGGGTTTTTTGTATGTTTTTTTCCATTTCCTTGTGTTCTTCACATGCATTTATAGGTTCCCAACCCCACTGGAAATAGTAATATTCCTGTTTTTAATTGGAACAAGAGAAGTATGTCATTTGACCATTCTGGCTTGAAGTTCACTGTTTAAATTCTTACGCATGTGAAATGTTAACCAGTGCACCCAGTGCAAAAATGCATGCAGGGTGGGTCCCACCTTGTGTTTGCATAGTTAGTTTATCAGTTCCAAAGAGTTTCACTGAATTTGATCTCAAATGAACATTAAAAAAGATGGACTATAGAAAATTTAAGATATTTCTGCCAATACTAATTTTTGGTTTTCTGTTCGAGTTACAATGGAAACGTTATTACAGGAAAGCTCTTGTGTGTTGATGTTTAGAGGGTAGCAGTTGGACAGTTGATCAAAGGATGCTGCGGAATACTGCAGTGGAGGAATGATAAGTAATCAGAAACCGGGGTTTTAAAACTGTTGCAGGTAAATCTAGAACATGCTGGACAATTTCTAACAAAACTGACTTCAGGTTTTTGGAGCAAGGTTTCTGGAAAGCCAGATTGTGTGGAGCACCTTTTTGTTCAGGGCAGGAGAGTATCAGCACAGGAGAGTGATGTTGGAAAATGTGTGTTACCCCTGAGCTATCCCTGTAGTAAAGCAGCCTTGCAGTTAGCAGTTGCCGTGGTTCAGTGAGTGGTTTAGGGATTGGATGCTACTCTCAGCTTATTTTCCTTGAGCTGTTTTGGAAGTGCCATGGTGTTCAACAGGGCAATCAGACCGTTTCTACCGACTTCAGCCTGTTACTTGCATGTCGGCATGGAGAGGGCATTACACCTTCAAACCCTCTCAAACTGTGATCTTCTGCTTTTATTGGCATTGCAGTAGCCTCTTATTGACTTTTTTTCATGGCAGCATATGGAGGTTTTCCGTGAATAAGGAAGGATGCTGCAAATTACCTGAACTAATAACTTCAGGGCTGTTTTATGGCTGGTATCAGTCTTGCGTGCCTTTGGCCTGGGAACTGCTTTGGCCTGGCTGACTCTGCAGTCTTCACTTTACCTGGTGCTTGTTCTGCAGACTCGTGGTGGGTGGTGAAATGTGAATTTATTTATTTATTTATTTGTTTATTTATTTAGCCTAGGGCTTTTTTGTTCTTGTTTCAGGGAATTTTTGCATCCCAGTCTGGAAAGACTTAATGTGCTGGCTCTTTAGTAGTACTGAACACTTGTTAGAGTCTTAAAAACTCATGCATAATTGTTCAAATATTAAGACTTTCGTTTCAAAGAACTTGTGTATGGATTTAATCTGCTTTATTTTTTCTTTTTCAACATCAACATTTTCAGTTGTATATTTTGTAGATCATCTCTGCTTTCCCCCAGTTATCTTTAAAACCCAATTTTAGCAACATGAGCTAATGTGCCTTTAGAAAGCGCTTACTCTGCCAGACAGGAGGGTGTTTTTCAGGTTCCATACTTTGGTTTTGGGTACTTCTTACTTACTACTTTTTTTTCAGAATAAATGAGGCTGTATTAAAGGAGCACTGGAGGCTGATGTTCTTTGTTCTCAGGCTGGGAATAACATGGCCAAGGAGGGTGTTTTCATTCTGTTCCGCTTTGGAATTTCAGTGGAGATTCTGGATGGTAAGTTCAGGATGTTGGACAGTAAGAGGGTACCAGGGTTGGGGTTTTTGTGCTGCTGTAATGGACTGAAAGGGGTTTTCTCCACTAAACTTGCAAGGAGGTGTTGCAAGAACCTGGCAGGTTCACCTTCAGTTACGTCTTGGCGTTGCTTGTTAGTGCTAGGTGGCATAGTAAGACACATGACTCTTGGGTACAGAGGATGGGTGACAGTGGGATTTAGAGATGTGGTTTCAACTTGTCTGTACTCATGAGGCTTTGTTGTCCCCAAGAGGTTCTGCTCAAGATCCTTGTGTTGAAAGTCATTACAGGTGATGACATCTTTGTCAGATAATGGGTGCCTACTGGACCCTTCAGCTGCTATCTTGTGTCTTTGAAAGGTGTCCCTCTTAAATTTAATCTGGATTAAATCTCTGTTAAAAAAATCTCTCTGCAAGCATTTTGTCTACTTTTGTCTCTTTTTGTAGGTGGTATTTGTTGTTTTTATGTTTGTTTTGGGGGAATGCCTAATCTTTGGGTTATCAGGTTTTGACTGGGAGAGGTGGGTGAGCTTCTACAGATTAGCCCATATAGCCCCGTAGTTTAAAACATGAGAGCTCCACTCCAGCTTTCTAGGATGGCAAATAGTGGTGGGCAGATGAAGGTGTGCTGTTAAGACTCTTGAAGGTGAATTGGCTGAGCTCTCCTTACAACATCAAATTCCCTGGAAGGCAATGTGAGTTTTCCTTCCTCTATCAAAGTCTGCTGTAAAGTATATGCTGCTTGTAAGCATCTTGACCTCAAAAAAATACTTACACTGACTGACTAGTTTTGGCTGTCCAGTCTGGACTGGTAAAAGTACCTGCAGTCTGATCAGGAAGCCACTGCCTGCAAACCACAGGAGGCCTTCTAAGAAAAGAAACTGTGGTAGGTGTGCTTTTTATTTTCTGGGTTTTATTTTGTTCCTCCACTGAATAAGCAAACAGGTGGTTTTGCTTCAAACTGGTGACCTACTTGAATGTTTGATTTAGGCAAAACTTTGTAATGATGACTCCGCAGGCCAGTTAAACCTGGTGTGGTCAACAGAAAGCAAATAGGGACTGAGGCTGATTGTATTGATATGAACAAATAACAGCTTCTTTTCATCACCTGCTCTTAGTTTCCTAACTAGCTTTATTTCTGTGCTATTTAATAACTATTACTATTTTTACTATTTTACTATTTAATAGTTATTACTATTTTATTACTATACTAATATTAATAACTATTTAATAACTGCACTATAATGACTAGTCAGTTATTTGTACCCCTTGATGGGAGTTTCTGCCTATTTAAGAAATACTTAAAATGAGGAACCTTTTGCATGACAAAATGACCTTTATTTGGAGCCTGTTTTTAGACCTTTTCCTAATACTAGTACTTTAAGTTAGGCTTACTCTGTTTGAACATGTGGCTGCCCCAAATTAAGGAGGCACTGGAACCCTCTGGTCTCTGCATGGATCAGTGCAGAAATCTGGGTAATAGTGTAGGAGCTAGGCACAAAAGGTGGGGTCAGCTAAGCTGTAGTCCCTTGCTTGCAGAGTGGTGACATAGGCACTGAAGTGATTTCTAAATTAGTTAGAAAGGAGGGGTTGCATTGTTGAGGTATTATTTACTGCTTCAGTTCAACACTTCTGAACTCTGGCTCACTCAGCTGGGCTAACGTGGGAGAGGATATGGGCAATGGTATTCCCAAAGG